CCCTGCCCCGCCTGGCCCCCCTGCCACTGCCTTTCGTGAGCCGGGGTGTGTGTGCAGACAGCACCCGTTGGCCGGCCCCCCCAGGAGGAGGAGGAGGGGGTGCATTCCCCGAAAGGGGCGGCGCAAAGGTTGTGCCTTCAGGGGATCCCACGGATGGCCGCCTGGTGGCTGTCCGGCTCTTCTGCTGTGGGCCCCCACCGTGGGCAGAGGCCGGGTTTCACATCCAGGGGGCTTGAGGCACAGCTGCCTGGCGCCCCCCTCGCCCAGCTGCCTCTCCAGCCACCTGGCAGGGGGAGGGCAAGGGGGGTGAAACTTGGCCGCCTTCAGAGCAGTAAACTTGGGCTCGGGGGGGGGGAGCATGGAAATTGTGCCCCCATGAAGGTGGGCCCCCCTAAGCAAGGGAAGCTCCTCTGCGGGAGATGGGAGGGGACCTGCGGTGGGTGGGGTCCCGATAGAGGAGGCAGGCTCAGGATGGGGGGGGGAGGTGGCTGGGGAAAGGGGGCCCAACGGGAGCCCCCAGCACAGGAGGCACCTCTTGGCAGCCTCTGCACCTGCCCGCCCTGGAGAAGCCAAGCAGCTGGTCAGGCTGGGCTCACCCCCCTCTCCACACACCCCCACCCCCCCACCCCTCCGTAGCCCCTGGACCAGCTGAAGCTCTTCCAAGCGGCGGCTGAGAAGCACCAGCAGATGTACCGCCTGGCCATGACGGGGGCCGGCATCGACCGGCATCTCTTCTGCCTCTACGTGATGTCCCGCTACCTCGGGGTGAAGTCCCCCTTCCTGGACAAGGTGAGGGGGGGGCCGGCTTTGGGGGAGGGGCTCACCTGCCCCTTCCCCCCCTGCCTGGAGGGCCGCCGGGGGGGGGGGGCCCCCCCGGGGGGCGGGGGCGGGAGGGGAAGGAGAAGCGGGCTCCCCCCCCCCCCCCCCCCCCCCAGGTGCTGTCCGAGCCCTGGCGCCTCTCCACCAGCCAGACCCCCCAGCAGCAGATCAGGATGTTCAGCCTGGAGGCCCACCCAGACTTCATCTCCTCCGGCGGGGGCTTTGGGCCGGTGAGTGGGGGAGGGGGGAGGCGTGGAAGGGACCAAGGCTGGGCGGAGGGAGACGCCCAGGTCGCTGGGTGCCCCCTGGGGAGGAGGGGTTGGTGGCACCGAGGCTGGCGGAAGTGAGGGAGGTGCCAAGGGGCTTTTCCCTAGAGGTGCCCCACATGCTCGGCCCACTTCCCCACTCCCCCCACCCAGTCATGGGGGTCTCTCACCCGGGAGTGGAGGCCCTGGCCCCTTCTTGGCTTTGGGGATGAGCCGATACCTGCCCAGCGTTGCCACCTTCTGGTGGGGTGGGCAGGCCTTTGCCCAGGGACAGCGCCCCCCTTGCCCCCCCCATGCAAAGGAGGCAGCTTTGGAAGACGGGGCAGGATGAGGCTGTGCCCCCTTGGGGAGATGGCGAGGTGCAGGCCAGAAGAGCCAGGGGGAGGGGCCAGGGGAGGGGAGGACCCTGGCAAGGCACACCAAGGTTCCTCCTACACCCCTCATGCCCAGCGGTGGGTCCTCCGGTCTCCCCCCCCCCTCCTGCAGGTGGCTGACGATGGCTACGGGGTCTCCTACATCATTGCCGGGGAGAACCTGATCACCTTTCACGTTTCCAGCAAGTTCTCCAGCCCTGAGACGGTGAGTGTGCCCGCAGAAGGGCAGAGGGCGGCCACTGCCCGGCCCTTAGGAAGAGCCACCCCAGGAGGCCCCTCGGCCAGCGAGCCTCGGCACCCTTCAGGTGCTGCCCCTCCTGCCTTGACCGATGGCCCTTTTCTCCACCCCCCCCCCCCCAGGACTCCAAGCGCTTTGGGACGAACATCCGCCGGGCCATGGTGGACATAGCCGCCCTGATGGACATGCAGCCCAGGCAAAAGGCCCGCTGAGCTGGGTGCACTTTGCGTGCAGAGCCAGAGGAAGCAGCCGCCGCTTCGGGGAGGCCATGCCAGACATCGTCCAGCCTGGTGCCAGCCGGGCGGCTACATCTCCTGCCCTGCGGAGCTGCCCTGCGGGGGCTTCCTGGATTGGGGGGGGCTGGGGGGGGCGGAGCGGTTGCCCTGTGATGTCGCTCATAAAGGAGGACCGTTTGGGGGAGTCCCCAGAGTGAAGCCGCCTGATTTTGCCTGGAGGTTCCTTTCTTGTGGCGCTTTGGGGGGGGGGGCGGCAGAGGCCCCACTGCAAAGGTCAGGCCAGACCCAGAGGCAGCCGTGCCCACTGCGTCTGCAGAGCCATTCTCCCCC